CCGGGGCCCCGCTCCCCCTCAGCTCCCCCGGAGGGCGGGCGGGGCTGAGCCCCCCGCGCTGCCCGGCCCGGCCGCGGAGCAGCAGCCCCGAGCGGCCGCTCTCGGGGGTTCCCGCCTCGGTGCCCTGGAACGGAGCCTTTGCCCCGGGGGTTTCTGCCGCCGGGAGGAGGAATGTGCGTGTCTAATGCGTTTGTAGCGTTGTTCTGGGTTTCAGAACAGGTTTGCTGAAGCCCGGTTACTCGGTGCTGGTGGTCTCGAGTTCGTTCGCATCTGGTGTTGAAGGGCTTATTTCAAATAAACGTTCTCGTTGGGGTTTTTGGCCGTTCTGCTGCCAACGTGCTTCTGTGGTGCGTCCCCTTTTGAACGACACATTCAAAGAGTAACTGCTGTGTTACCCGCACGGTGCACAGGCTTGGAAGTGACCCCAGGTCTGTGTCTCTGGCACAAGCTGTGAGTTGCCCTCCGTGGTCCTGAAACTTCTTGTATGTTTCTTGTATATTGCTTGAGTATTTCACGTGGACTGCGGGGCCTGCTGTCACCAGGACTCACTTAATGCTTCCTGAAGTCTCCTAGGAAACCTTGCAGGCCTTTTTGAGCCCTTGGTTTGTCTTTATCCTTTTAGTTAGTGCCCTTCCAAATTTGAAGTAAGAATTGCAAAAACTTTCACATGAATGAGGAGAGACAGTTTTACTTACAGAAGCAAACAGTCAACTTGGGAAGTCTTGCTGCTCTGAGTTCCAAAGTGCTTTTTGGGAGCCAGAATCATGTCATTTACAATGTCAGGTTTGCTGCTAGTATGGAATTAGTTTTCCCTCCCGGCCTCAGATGTTTGGAGGAAGAATAACGAGTGCTGTTTGTTAGTGCTGTTGATCTTAATATCCTACAATATTTACTTGTATCCCAGTATCTATTTTAATTATGTAGGAAAGGATACTTCGATTTTGTATAACTTATGACAGCTTTTATTTGAATGCTTATGGGCTGAGATTCAGGGGACAATGTATGTAAATAAAAGAAAACCATGTCAGGTAGAAAGCTGAGGGAAGAACAGGCTCTGTTGCATCAGTTTCTCATTTCAGAGACCTACAACTTCAGCCCTGGTTGGTGTTTTCTAGTTCAAGTTGATGCCAGCACTAATCTGTGGGTGCCAGTAGTGACTAGCACATGGGGGTTTGTACCCTTGCTTTTAGTGTTTTCTCAGGACAGTGATGTGTCTCTTTAGTGAAGCAACTGGTAGATCACAGATTGCTCTGAATGTTTTGCTGATGACTTTCTATATATTTCCAGAGTCATGGAGGACTTGGAAGGTAATACCACTGTCTTCTCCACCCTGAGATCCCTCAACAACTTTATTTCACAGCGCATGGAGGGGCTGTCCGGGCCGCCTACTCCAGGATCGTCTCAAAGTGCCTTGCAGATTCAGTACCAGCAGAGGATGCAGGTGAGATATCATCAGCTTGGTGATGCCTGCAGTACCACTTCAGTGTGGTTGTAGACTCCTTTTGATTCCAGGAATCGGCATTGATTTCATTAAGATTTGATAATTCTTAAAAAAATTGATATTAATGCAAACTCAATAGTGGAAGCCTGGTTTTGGTGAACGTTCTAGAATCTTAGTTTTTTTAAAGTGTCAGGCATATTTATTTCTGTTTTGTAGAAACTCAAGAAAGGTGCTTTGAATTTCTTTCCTGCCTGTTATATCTGTACACCAGCTCAGGAAATTAAATTCTAAGTTGTTTTCATATTTCTGAACAAAGAAGCTTTATATCTGTCAGTATTTTTTAAGCAAGTAATTTGTTACTTTTTTTCACAATCTTCCTTAAAGTTTCTTTGCCTGGACCCACACTAGAGACTTGTACTGAGTTGGCTCTGGTGTGCTGGCCAGTTGTGCTTTCTTGTACACTTCTCTTTGTATCCATGTGGGTTTTAATTACTGTTTTTTGTAAGCTGCCTTATGCTCATACAGTATAGACTAAGCTGACATCTTGGATCATAAGGACTGTTTATTAGGCTGGAGTAAAGTTTCTCTATCCTTTATCTTAATATAATTTCTACTTTAGCGTCTAAGTATAAAATAAGTTTGCTGTCTTTTTACTGTAAATCTTCTTTGCATTTGGAGTGGTGACAAAAAATTATGCATTATCTGTCTTTGGTACATCTCTTTACAGAGATGGTTAGAGAAGGTGCTCTCTGGTTAGAGAGTCTTCATCATGCATTGAATGTCTGTTACTCAGAAGTGAGGTATTCTATTAATATTGGCTGTGCTCTGAGGTAGTTTGAATTTAAAAAAATGAAATATAATGTTGTAGCAGGTAGTAGAAAAATGTTGTTTTGCTCAGCAGTTGATTATCATGGGGAGCACAATCTCTGCTTCATCATGGTTTGCTGCTGTTACTTTCATGAGGCTTGGGGAGTTCATAATTAACCTTTTCTTAGCTGGAGAAGTATATTCCATCAGACTACATCTAAAGATTGAAGGAGAAATTCTGAATGAGGAACTTAGGAATGTTAGTTGGAATGAAGTGAATTTTTATTTGATGTGTTTCTGAGTGTGTTGTTGAACTCTTGGTTTCCCCACCTGCATCTGGAGTGAGAAGGCAAGTACCACAGACATGGTGATAGATACCTTGTAATTTCTGAAGTGTCATGCAAGTGTTGTCTGAGTAGTACAGAGTGGGAGATAAGGACATAATTGCAGTGCTGTTAATGGTGTTTAATGTCTCTTTTCACACATGAACTGGCCAGCTGGAAGAACAAGCTGGGCATATCCACTCCAAATCCCAGCTCCTGCAGGTGGAACGAGAGAAGATGCAGATGGAGCTTAGCCACAAACGAGCTCGCATAGAGCTAGAGAGAGCAGCTAATACCAATGCTAGGAACTATGAGGTGAGTGTAACAGTTGCAGATGGCTTGATATCATAGTCCTGAGTCAGAACCTACCTGGTGGGTCTACATTGGTGGTTTAGTTTGGATCAGGGATATTGACTTGTAACATGCTGCAGGAGTGTAGTCCAGAAGCAAGCTTCGTGTTCTCCAGCTGCTAATGGATACTTCAGAGCATGACTTCAGTGAATCTGTAGTAACTGCTCCTGGGATGCATTTACTGTGTTTGCATTTACTGCAGGTGTGATGATGCTGCAGGTGGGTGTCAAGTTCTCAGTACCAACTGTTTTGCTCTTCAGATTCCCTCATGGTGCTTTGCACTAATTTGCTACTGCACACAGGAGTGTCAAGGTCAAACCCTTGCTTGGTTGACAAACTGATGAGCTCATTACTAGATTCTGTTAGTTTAGTACTGAAGTTGTCATGAGTAGCAACAACAAAAGGGATTTGTCTGTTTCTCCCAGAGGTATTTGAGCCTTTTTCTCCCAGATGAATTTAAACTTCTGCTGGCACAATTACAACCATTCAGTCTGTGTGACTGTAATTAATTGGGATGACTGCAGTGCCAACCATGCATGGTCATACCAGAGAGCTTGCACTAATAAAACAATGAGCCTCACTCAGGGAATATGGCTTTACTGGTTTCTGGTTTTAGGCCTGTATATGTTTACTTAACTACATTACTGAAATAAGCAGTAGATCTGTGGGTTTTGTAGGAAAATAAAGGTCTTGGATGTAGCTGATCGTGTAAAAAGAATCTTTTTAAAAAAATAAACATGTTTTATTGTATTTTATGAAGGCAGTAGGTGAAAGATTTAGTGTGTAGTTATGAAATAGTGAGTCAGTGACTAAATTCCTTGTTTGTCTGAAGTCGGATGATGTGGGTTCAAATTGGAATGTAGCTGAGTCAGTCACAGAAACTCTGAAATAAAGGGGAACAGCATTAATCCAGCACTGTGGTAATTGCCCTGCTCAGATTCTGTGGCTTTTTTGAGTCATGTGGATTATGATTTTAGGAATTTCACATTGCTTTGTTCAATCCATGCTTACTATGTAAATATGTGTCTGGGTTCGTTTTGGTTAGCAAAGCGATTTACTACACGTTTTTTCAATAGATGTTAATCAATTTGTGGTAGGCATAAACTGAAATGATGTATGAAATGTTGTCAGAGTGCAAAAACATTTATTGTATTCATTGATAATACTGTGCATTTAAACCTAGTTTCTATTAAATAGTCTCATACAATTTTGAGAAATTGCAAAGGGAAGCTTGTCTTCTTAACCCAACTATTGAGATCTGAGTTCCTGAAGGTCAATTTTCTATGCATGGGTCAGCTTTAAATTGGAGCATCAGATGTTTCATCTTTGATTCACTGGAGAACGTGTAGAGGAGTCTGGTGAAGCATGTCTGTATTCCTCTGTCCCTGTCTTGGTCTAAGATCTCTGGAAGATTCTCTCTCTTAATGTTGTAGCTCGGTTGCCCTGGGTAGTTCCTTGACATTCAGTTGCTGCTGGTAAGATTTTTTTCCCTTGCTGGTGGGTTAAGGTTAAAGCTGTGGTCCGAGTAACATTGGTTCGTGGTGATGCCTTGGTGACCACAGTAGTGAGGAATGGAGGCAGGAGAAACAAAAGTGGCTTCTTCTTTGTGCTACTTTCTTCTTATGTCTCTTTGCATTTTTTTTCTTCCTTTGCAAGCGAGAGGCCGACCGTAACCAGGAGCTGCTCACACGCATCAAGCAGTATCAGGAGAAGGAAACAGAAGCTGAAAATAAACTGAAAGAACAAATGGAGATGAACAAATCCTATAAGAAGAGCATGGAGACTATGAGTAAGAAGCTGCAAGAGAAGGAGAGCAAATTAGCTGAAGCTAATGAAGTAAGCAAAGAGTAATTTAATCCATTCATAGCTTCAGGTGACTTTGCAGTTCTTGTGAATTGAAATGCCCTTTCTAATTACAAAAAACCTCATGTAAAATTGGCATCACTGTGTTCATCGTCTGGAAATTAATAAATCCTGGTGGTGTGTGTCTTTGCTGTCAAAGTTTCAAACCTAACCAAGTCCAGACACAAGTGAGCAGTTCAGATGATGTTGCTGTGTTGTTAACAGTGAGAAGTTTCTTAGGTTTATATGGAGTCTTAAATGCCCATGAGTGCCACTGTAGAATGAAGGCTTGGATTACAATTTCAGTTCTTTTGGAGGAACAGATAATCTTCTCAACCTTTTCTGGTATCATTATAGTTAAGTACAGCTAGTTAATTTGTCACTGTTCTGTTTAATTTGGTTTCCTGCACCAGTTGTGGTTCAACACTAAGTCCATAAGCCTTCTTCTGCCTAGATGTGACTGGAAATCTATCTGTGTGATAAAGCAGGTACACTGATGTAACTGATTTAATGCCAGTTACCAGTGATTGAAAACAGGGAGACAGTGATGGCAAGTGAGAGAAACCCACATGTGAAATGTGTGCAGCAGTTATATCTCTGTGTTCTTTTTGCTTCCATATCCATCAGTATGAAGACGAGAACCCTACATGTTTCTCCATCAAGAGATGGAGAATATGTTTTCTATATATATAATGTTTTGAGATTATCCTCTTTTTTGTTGTTAAACAGAGCTGAGCAATGGCTATCTGTAACAAACCTATGGGTTTTTCTTCAGACCTAAGATATCCGTAACAAAATTTTAAAATAAACTGGCCTCTACTTTTAAGGAAAGCATAATTCATTTGGTATTTGGTTGAGGCAAACCCAGACATTTTCGATTTTTTAACCCAGACAAAATATATTTAGAATGGTTGTGGGATGATTTTTTTACTTTATTATATACTTGTGTTTTTATCATCATCTAGCTTTGAAGTTTGGTGTTTTTCATGCCAGTTTGAGGTCACCCACTTAATAAGTAATGGAAATGGCAATTTGGGTGACAGATGAAAGTGACTAAATTATTTTTTTCTTGCCTTTGTTTTTGAGGTGAGTTAGCAGGTCTGAAGGTTTGCAAGAGTATGGGATTGTTTCTACATTCAGTGTTTGTACTTTTTAGTTGGTTATGATTTCTGTCTGTCACCATCCATAATGTCCAGCTTGGAGACTCATAGGCTTGTGTTTATTCTTTCTTTCCATTGATTCAGACAATCACTGTATTAAAAGGGAAAATATCAGAGCTGCAATGGAATATAATGAATAAAGAGATGCAGATGACAAGCCAAGAATCTCAGAAGCAGGAGCTGATGGAACAGCTGGATGTTCAACATAAGTAAGCAGGGGATGAATGACTGTAGGGAGAAAAAGGCAAACAAAGCTTCAGTCTCTTGCAGCTGTCATCACTCAGAAAACTTTCAACAGTGTTTGATTTCTGCTCTTCAAAGGAGCTCTTTGATCTGGATGTGCAGGTTATAACCATTGCTTGAAACTAGCTCTGAGGTGCAATTTAATTGTACCTTGACAAAAAAAAAATACTTGAACTTAAAATCTCAGTGATGTCTCGTGTTCATGGTAGAGAGTTAACAGAAGGCATGTGGGTGGGAAGGCTAATCTGAACTTACAGACTGAACAGAACAGAAATACCAAGCCTTCAATCATAGTTGAGGGGTAGTTGAAAGATATGAGTGTGTTTTTTCCTTGCTTACTAGGTTCAACTTTTTGATTTCAAAGGTGCTATTTATTCACTGTGAATGTACACTGTTGGTGTCAGAGTTAAGGCGCCTTGATTTCTGGATATTTCTCAGGATGCAACTCATTATTAAAATGAGTGTTTTTGCCCCTAAATTAGAGGGAGATTATATGAGTTTTAAACTGTGAGAGAGATAATCTTCTGTAACAGTAATATTAGTGGTATTAGAAAATCTTTGTCAGAGATGCTTCTGTATGTCAGTTATTTCTGTTATGTGGTTCCTGGGTGCTAATTGGCTCTTCTTTTTCCGTCTAAAAGGAAATGGCAAGAGGCTAGTCAGCAAATCCAGACCATGCAAGCAACACAATCTCTACTGGCAGAGTATGAACAGAAGATTAAGGTAGGAAACTTTGTGGCCTCTGTAAAGCTTTACATTTTACTTTCTTCCATGGAAGAACAGAACAATGTTTTATTTTGTTTTTTAAATTGCTATTTATATCGCAGAAATTAAAGGTTAATTTGTCTTATAAAAATGTGACATGGTGGCCAGCAAGAGGTTGGCTATATTCAATTGGATGGGGCAGGCCATCCATAATTAGACCCTTCCACAATGACACTTTTCATCTTTGTTGTATCAGTTGATTGAGGGGAAAAAAAATCCACCCGTGCTTTTCTCTATAGCCTTATGCCATGCTCTTGAGAAGAGCTCTGTTGGCTCTTGTGCCACAGCACAAGATTGCTCTGCACAAGATTGCTTCTAAAGCAATTGCATATTTTCAAATGATGAAGGATGAAGCCAGCAGCTACAATTATTTTTCTGCTCCCCAGAAAATCTTTCCTCTGGAGTTTTCTTTAGCTCTTTTAGAAAGTGCAGTGAATTGCAAAGCTTTCAAAACCTCACTGATTTAAATGTGAGTATAGAAATGCTTTATGTCTTTCCAAATTAACGTGTCGGTTGGTGGGAGTATCTTTTTCACTTGTCTTTTCCTGGAAGTGGTAGATGTGGAGAGTTAGTTTGGTTTAGCAGGTGCTGATAGTGGCATTGCCTGTGATTGCTGGAAGGTAAAGCTCCACTGAAGGCCACCCTCACTGCCAGTTCTGTGATTGCAAGAAGAGACTTCCTCTATTAAAAGATCAGGAAACAGGGTATCAGACTGAAGTACAGCTCTAAATATTTTTGTTTTGAGGAAAAAAAGTAACATTTACCATAATGCTAAAATGCACAGTTATGTTCCTTTTCACTCCTAATTCTTGAAGGCCATCTGAGTGTCCCTCTCTACACTTCATTGGCTGAGGGATAGAGGACAAGAAAAGCACAGACTAGGTTTAATCAATAGCAGAAGGTCCTTGTAATGAATAGCAGACATCCTTTTGTTATCAACTTAGGGTGAACGGGTGTAGAGAAGAGGCCAGCCCAGGTGTTACAGGTGGAACAGGAGTCATCCCCACTTTGAGCAGTGGGTGGAACCAGATTCCTTACTGAGTTCCCTTCCAGCTTCATTCCAGTCACTGGTTTGAGTTTCAGAAGTACAATGGAGAAGTAACTCTTGTGAGTTCCCGGTTACTCATTGCTGTCCTCTTGTCATCCCACCTTTTCCAGGATCTGGAACAGAAGTTCTCCCAGCAGGAACATGATGCTCTAATTGTCAAGAACATGAAGGCAGAACTGGCCCATTTCCCAAAAATGGAGCGGGAATTGCGCCAACTGAGGGAGGAAAATGCCTATTTCAGGTGAAAGAAGGGCTCAGTCCTTGAGAGTGTTATCTTGTATCCTTCTGTCCTTGCTACAATTGCACTAGCTGCAGTTTCACATCCCTCAATTGGGCTTTCATATGGGAAACTTTAGAGGGAAGTTAAAATATTTCATATAAATACTGTGTATGAACTGGGCAGTGCTGTGATGGGTGTTGGGTGGGAGGACTGGACAAGGTCTGGGTAATCTTCCTTAACATAGCAAGAATGCATTGATCCTTCTGGATGATGGTATCTGTTTGTTAGAACAAAATTCAATGTTTAAAGATAATGATGAACTCTATACAGGTCTGGGAAAGAAATCCCTGCACAGAGAAGAGACAGCTGAACATTTCTATAATAAATGTTTTTGCTTAGTGATTGTTACCACTATTTTAAAGGCCTGTTGTTCCAGCAAAATATTTGGAAGGTTGTTTGTTTAAATGTCTAAAGCACTCTGATCAGGCCCTTGGTAGAGTAGACTCTCTGGGTTTCTGAAGTGACAATTAATTTGAAAAAGTGAGTTTCTACATACTATGATTGAACTTGCCTTAAATATATTTTTTTTGAGTAAATTTGATTTCCAAATTCTAGTGCATCTTTAAAAGAAAAGGAAAAAAGCCTAAATTACATGAGTGATCTTGCCAGCTTTTTCTTATTCTAAAATTAAATTATTTACCTGGACTTTTTTATTGCTAGTTCTTAATTATAGTTCTAAATTGTTTATCTTGGAATTTTTTCTCATGCTTATTTTTTGTGCCCAGAAACACAATACCAACAAATCAGAGGTGATCTGTATTTTAAGCAGTTTTATCTCACCCTTGCACACCTCTATTAAAGTACAAGCAAGCAGTCTCAGTGTTTGTTCACCCATCACAGAGTACTCAAAAAGCATGAATATATGCTGCTTGCTGTGCTCCAGCCCTGCATTCAGCCTGACTGAAGATGACAGCTGGGAGTCCTTTGCTGCCCTTCATGCTGTTTTTCCAATCAGTAAAGCAGATATAAAACTTCAGGTTGTTTGGACATAATTAGGATGGCACTTAGAGTAGAAAAAAATCAGTTCAATAAAGCTGCAGGTTTTTTTCTTTGCAGCAAAGGTTACACAAGTGAGTGGGTTGAATGTCATAATGTCTGCTCAATGTCATTGGATACCCTTGTAATTCCTTGTGTATCTGGGAGTTTGTGAGTTGCATGCCTCTCTTCCTTACAGGGAAATGAAAGAAAATAATGGATTGCTTAAAGAGGAGGTAGAAGGTCTCCAAAGAAAACTGGAACGCTATGAGAAGGTGCAAGCACAGCTAGTGACCATTGAATTGGAAAATGAGGTGAGAAGCTGAGAACGTTTGGTAGATGAGCAGAGTAGGGGTTTCCTTTGTGGCCTGTTCTTTTAGGGACTTGTGTTGTGTATTAGTTGAGCTATGATACCTGTTCTAATGAATGGGTTGGAACCAGGCATTCCCAAACTTAGATGTCAGCATGAGGGGAGATATGGCAATGAAGGTGAAAAAAGCAAAATATCTACTGTTCAGCTGGAGAGTTTGTGTAAAGAACAATCTCATCATAGTGTCTTTTGTGGCCTTGCAGTTCTTCTTTTGCTTCTGCTAGAGATGCTTTCTTTTGGCATTAAGCTCTGCCCAGAAGTGGCGCTGCTGAACAGGTGTGTGGTAAGAACCATGATACTCACCTCAACTGCTGGCAGTGCTAATAGGGTCAGAATGTGGTCTCAGATGAACAAAATAGTCTTGATTCCATATCACCCTATATCAAGCATACAGTGAGTTGTCAAGAGATTGTGTAAACTTGTTCATCTGCAGAACTACACTGATGTCTGATCAGATTTAGAAAAACTATCTGGTATTGACTGAAAGTAAAAAGCTGTAGGAGAAACTGGAAGTGGAGAAATGGGAACTTCACCTGCTACAGAACTAGTGTTGAGACTACAGCTTTCTTCTTCACTGCCAAGAGTCTAGTCTACCAAGCTCTAGTACAGTGATGGTAGCTCACAGGGTTAGATAACCTATAGTTGCTGAAATGTAACACAGGTTCTGTGTGTCACAGAGCTGTGGTGACAGGGAAAGTATTTGTGAGGGCTGGAGAATGACAAACCAAAAGAAGATCATGAAATCCAGAGGAGGGGAAGGAAAGACATTGACTTGAATGGAGGATTATGAGAAAAGTGTGGAGAATAAGCTGTTAGAACATTAGTCTGTGTCTCTTAATTTGTCATCTCTTACCTCTTCTTTTCATCTCTACTTTAGAAACTTCTGGGAAAATTAAAAAGCTGGGAGAAGGTGGACCAGAACATTGGCTTGAATATCAGGTATGTGCTCAAAGCTCTGGAGGGCGCCGAACCTTTTAAACCGCTTTCCTCTCCTCTTAATCATCCCATACCTGAAGTGTGTTGGTCATGCTTGCTATTTTTTCTTCATCTTGAAACTCTAGTACTTCTGATTATATATGAAAACAACAAGATACAAACTGTTACAAAGTATCTATGAGAGCTAATAAATGTTTTTCACCAAGTCAGCTTGACCAATGTCTCTGAGGCCAAGGTTCAGTTTCTAGTTTGAAGTTTTTGTGTGTGGCTACATTCGTGTTTAGTTAGAGATTCTGCTAGCTCAGTAAGTGAACTTTTAAGAATTTTAGGTTATGTCTAGAAAATAACTTATGTTACTTGTAACAATTTGTTGTAAATATTTATTTGGAATCTGGAGAGCAAAATAAATCACCAGATCTTATTGTGACGTTTCTTCACCAAAGCAGCTGAAGAACAGTTGTTAAGGTAATTATTTTGTCTAGCAAGAGAAATGGAATAAACTGTGGGAGGGGAAAAAAACCCTCTAATAGTCTTTTGTAACACCAGCTAGTCTCTTTGTGTACTGTTACTTAACAACTTTCTGACATCTGAACCAGATTGTGTATGGTCTCTGATATGTATGTGGTATAAAGAGAGGTTGGAAATGCTGCATCTTCTGATAATTTTCTTCCACTGCAGAGGGTTTTATTTGTAGCTACAATGCTCTTGTGTGGTGTGTGTTTCAGCACTTCTTTTCCTCCTAAATATTTATGTTGTTCCTTAATGCCAGGAGAGGTGCTTGTTTGTAAATAACTGCCTTCAGCTGTCACACAAACCATAGAATGTCAATTTACCAAATGTTTCTTTATTCCATTCATAACATGCTCATCAACAAAGTTATGTCTGACACTGCTGGGAACGTTTGAAAGTAGGAGTGTTTGCATATTGTACATATGGTTTGGGCACATGTCTGCTTTGGGTAAAAGATACTTGGATTCAACTTGGGAAAGCCCCTATAATTTTCACAGTGTTTTCTGTTTAATGAGGATAATGTCTCTCTTTCTAGAGGCAGGCCAGAGGAAACCTGCATTTAGATGAAGCTGGAATTGTGCTGAATCTCCTATAGCAAGGAGTGGAAAGAAATAGTTTGAAGCCTTTTCATGAAACCTGTTCTATCAGTGGAGTAAAAGCTTTTTACTTACCTCAAGCTGTTAAAGGCTTAATGAGGTAATTTCACAGTAGGAGAGAAATGGAACCAAGTGATTCTGCCAGTTGAAGTCTAATAATTCCTTCATTTAAAATCAGAATATTCCCTTCAAAGTGTTACGTTTTTGATTGGGCCATATTGTTTAGTGCTATTAGTGGCATCTTCTCTCACAGAAAAGGGAATTGCTCTTGAGAAAAAAAATAAAATCATCTTTTGCATGCAATTGTAGCAAGTGGAACTGAATGATTTCCCCCTCTTTTTTTTTTCTTTCTTACAGCATGAATTACATTAATTTTCAGTCAGGGTTGTGAAGATGAGAAGAGATCATTGTTCAGGCTCCTGTAGTATGCTGTTGGTGAAAGTTTAAGAACAGTTAATTGCTCATTTCATAGTAGAAGAAAATAGGAACAAGTTGGATGGTTGTCCCAAAGAGCCAGAGCAATGTGCTGTTTCCTAATAACTAGATAAGCAGGGGAAAAGGGAACACATTAGGATTTCTCATCTCTCTTATGTTCTTCATTGGTACAGAGGATGTGAGAGATGTGCATACATCATGTGGGATTTTAGGAGAGGATGGCTTTTCATTTCCTCCAGCACTTCCACAGGGCTTGTTCTGTGTCTGCTCTTGGTGAATTCTGTTCATTAATTGCCTGGTCCCAGCAGGCTTTTTGTCAGATTGGCTTATGATCAGACCTACTTGTGTAATTTAAAGTGTGATTTTCTGTAATAACTCTTGAAAAGGAGGTGCAGCTTTTAGCAGTGAAGTGGTAATTCTACTGTTTTAGTACTAGTCTCTTTTTGGTAACTGTGAAAGAGTGTTTATAATGCTTCACCTTTTGGGGGGAAAACAAATTCGTTAACAGTTTACTCAAAGGCTGATCTTACATTTGCTAGTTCTGAATTCCACTTTTAAGCTCTTGTGTTTTCCTCTTCCTCTCATAAACTATGGAAACAAAGACAGCTTTAGCTCCAGAGCATGTAGCCGTGTTTGTGGTGTTGTGCAGTATTCTTTTCAGAATTTACCCTTGGGTTTATGCCTGCCTTCTACAAACATTCTATAATGTGCTTTGCACGATACTCAGATAATAAAACAGTAAAAACAATAGTTATATATGGTTCATGATACACATTATGAATCTACACATTCTTTTTTTGTGATTAATTATATGTCCTTTTGATATCAATCTTCTTACTGCCTGCTTTTCAGTTTAGTTGGCTGTTTTTTATCATGGATGTAATTTTGTCTTGTCTCTTTTGCATGTTACTGTTATGCTGCCAGAGATTT